TGTGGCAATGGTAAGGACAAACTTGGCATATAAAAATCCATAGGAATTAGGTATGATTAAATTAAAATGAGGGAATCTTTTCTTTTGTTGTGCAGGCTGTTTGTGTGCCCAGTTGTGGCTGCTACAATGTGTTTTCTTGTAAAGAAATGAGTCTGAGAGATCTAGTCTGGCATCCCTAATAGAGAATTCCATGCTGAGAAGAATAAAAAATTGGGAAACAAGAACTGATCTCTGCAAGGAAGTTGCTAATGATTGTAATTAATGAGAGACTTGAACATGTCCTCTAGGATCAAAAGCAGGGCAGGATGTTCATTGCATGGGCTATGAGAAATGCAAGCTAAAATGCATGGAGCTACAGCATAAGTCCCAGGATTCTGCAGCTGGTGAAGGCTGGGGGAAGTTATTGGGTGGGGGCTTTTTTATATGAATGGTTGTTTTTTCTCTCTCCAAGTCCTCTCTCTCTATTCCTAGTGTTCAGTATAACTCATGTTGTTGCTTCAATTAATGTAATCAAAGTCCTTACTTCTCCTGCTATGGGATGTTGGAAGCTGCATTTTTGTAAAGGTGATGCCATCTTTTTTCAGTGTGTATTCCAAGAAGCTTCCTGAAAAGCTACAGTGACAGATAATCTGTGGTTCAGGGAAACATTTCACAGAGCAGTGGAAAGGAAAATAAAAAACTTTTTACCTGGGAATTAGAACTCCTTGAAAGTGCATCACAGTTATTTAGTTATCCTTCTCCTACCATCACAGCAAACCTGAGAGGATGACATCTGAGTAGGGTGTTAAATGAGGATGATATAGAGGATACTTCTTCCATCACACATTGGAGCTCCTGTTACAGAGAAGATTAGTATGGTAGAAAACCTGAGAAGTCAATAGCAAGAATAGGATGCCAGGAAATGTCTGAGATGTTGGAGAATGAAGCAGAAGTGACAGAAATCAATGTTCAGAGCACAACATTAGAAACTGCAAACAACAAACCTGTAGTGAGAGAAGGAAAAAAAAAAAAAAAAAAAGTGATCAGCTGTTACTCACCTACAGTAGAAACTTACAGACCTTTGTTTGGAAGTACAGCAGCAGCATTTTCAAGCCTAACTCTTTTGAGAATATGAATGAAAGTTATACAGATATTGTATGTCTTTAGATACAACCTTCTTTATGAAAAACCTCAAAAATCGTAGAATTGTAGAACAACCAAGATGGAAGGGACCTCAACAAACCATCTGTCCCAGCCTCTCATGGGAAAGGGAGCATAGATGAGATTATTGAGTGTTCTGTCCAGGCACATCATGGAAAGCTCCAGGGATGGGGACTTGACCCGTTTCCCTGGGGACCCCATTCCAGTGATTGTTTTCACTGTAAGATTTTCTTTCTTACATCAAGATGAAACCGCTCCCAGTGCAACTTGCACCCACTACCCTTTGTCCCCTCCATGTGGCTCTTTTTGAAGACAGAGCCTTCATCCCCTTTAAGTACTGCAAAACTGTGATGAGATTACTCCCTAAGCCATCTCCTCTACAGGGAGAAAATACCTAAATCTTTCAGTCTTTACTCATAAGGCAGGTTGTCCAGTCATTTGGTCATCTTCATGGTCCTCCTTTGGACTCCCTCCAGTTTGTCCAAGACTTTCTTGAGTTGTGGAGGCCAGAGATGGACCCAGTTCTCCACATGCTAAGTAGAGTGAGATGATCACATCTCTAACTCTGCTGGAAATGCCCTTACAGATGCAGTGCAGTACCAGATTTGCCTTCATTAAAATGTGAACTTCAGTTTTTCTTAGCTCACACAGGGCTTCTAATCTATTGGCTGGGATATAATTTAGATACCCTATAGGATACACTTATGGCAGTGCTGTGAGCAGGTTGGAGCTGTGAGGAGAAGAACTATGACTCCTCTGCTCTACAGTTCATGGTCATTTGCAAAAAGGTCATAGAATAATAGAACCATAAAATGTTAGGGTCATATTAACAAGTAGCTCAAAGAATTAAGTGCTTATAAAATAGCATCTGATGCAGAGCTCAGCGTGCCCTTACTCTCAGCTCTCTTAGGAGAGTCCCACACCCTGACTGCCCTCCCAGTACCTCTGCTTTCCCATGGTGCACGTTGTGAGACAGGCACTGAGGTACTAAGGCAATGGGCATAAAATAGGTGGATGTTCAGAGGCTTCACATGAGCCCCTTCTGGAGCTGAGGTACAGCCCTTGCAGTTGCTCCCAAACAAGTTCCCTGCATCCCTTTGTTCTTCCCAGCACACCTCTGGCCACTGGAGCCACAATTTTGCACTGGGGAACAGCAGCTCCCTGCACTCAGCTACTTGAAGAGGGTTGATGTTCTAACTAGCAAATGTTCTTACAAATAATCAAAAGCTATAGACTTAAAGACCAGGGTCAGGTGTCATCAGCTAGATGCTGTTCATTTCCTTGCTTGCTTCCTCCCTCCCTTCCTTTTCCTCTCTCTCTTTTTCCTTCTCTTTCTCTGTTCCTCTCCTTTTCTGTCATTAATAAGGAATGCCCTTTTTGCTCAACGAAATGTTTCTGTGTCCTGAGCAGGTGGCCAGTAAGTACTCAGAGAACTGGAAAGCTGAATCTGGTATTGTTGGCAAGGAGTCTCTGTAATTAACTTCTCTCTCTACATCAGAAATACTTCATTTTTTGTGCTTATTATAATGCTGAAGATTTTGTGCACAGGATACAAACCTGTCACGCCCAAGCTGCATAAGTTCTAGTAACTCTGTAGTACACATGCAGTGCTAGTCTAGTGAAGATCATCAGTTGCATCTATTTTAAACCTTCTCTTAGAGATGTTCCTTTATGCCTATTATGGACCTGTGCTTTCCCCAAGATCAGTTACCTTTGCATCAGCACTTGCCAGGTCACAAGCAGTCTGACTCCAGAAATAGTGTGTCAATGCAAAATGACTCCTGCCTTCCATCTAAGGCAGCAAATCACAAAGTGAGGGGAAATAAGTTTCCTTACCCCTTCCCACTAATATGCCACTCGGATTCCAAGAAGTCTCCCATCACGCTTCCTGGGAAGGCCGGTGGCAAGGCTGGGTCAGCCCACTCCCATGTGTGAGACTTCTCTCCATTTCCCACAAATGCAGTTTGAAGGAGATAATTGGACCAAGATACTGGTCATTTAAGGAACCTGCAACATAACCTTTCATCAGTTGAACATTTGGCAACAAGTTCTCAAGCCACAACTTCTTAGAGAGAAGAGCCCTAACACTTGCCAGTGCTTCAAGTGCATCAGGATTCCTCGACATCCAGAACAGGTTGTTTTGGATGGTCATTGTAATATTGTCCAAGGAGAACAGGGAATAATTGACTCATCCAGATGTGCTCCCCAGAGTTGTTGTGGTATTTGCTAGTCAGTCAACAGCTTTCAAATCATACTCATGGAGCTATACATGCAATGCACTGACTTTCCAATTAAGCTTTTGCATTTGGTATCCATCTTTTGTCCGTCTGTTTCAAGAATTATGAGCTTGAGCATAAAGAAAATTATTTTGCTTCCTTTCAAAGTGTGGAAACAGAGGTTTTGTGTGGAAAGAAGGAATCCCACCTACTTCTTGGGAGGATACTGTGGGAAGGGAGAGAGGAGAGAGGTGCTTTCCCTTCTTTGGAGCCCAGATATCACTGGCACTGGTGCAGCTTTCACAGCTTCACACCTAAAGATGCTGTCTCTCAAGAGCATCACTTACAGTGCCACAGGAGTCAAGACAGGGTGTCATCTTTTCCTTAAGTATATTTAGCTGCTGCCTCTCCAAGTACTTCCATATTTAGTTAAAACATGGAAGGATTCCTTGGGTGAAAACCTCAGTGTGCTTGGGAGGAGGAACCTCCCCACCCTGGATGCTGTTGCTGCAAACGCGCTGACGGCTGCGCTCAGTGCAAAGGGCTCCCGTCCTGCTGCCTCCTCCCCACCTCACCTCCAACTCCAGCTCCCTTCCCCAGCAACTTCCCAGCTTCTTGAAATCCTCCCTGGAAATGTAGCAGTGTAGAGCTAGCCAGGAACCTCAAGGGATTCCTAACTGACCCCACAGTGAGAAAGCCCCAAGTCTCATTTGCCAGTCCTGATGTCTGCTTGTCAAACCTGCCCATGGCAGCTACACAGTGCACCAGGGTCCTGCGTGGCCAGAATGGCTGTCCTGTATTTTAAGTTCTGCTTCTTGCCCTGCAGGAAACAGGGTGTAATTTGTTTAACACTTGAGACCAGCCCGCAGTGTGTGGGTGACTTGTTTCTTCTTTATCCAGCCAGGATGCAGGTAGTATCTACATTCCAACACAGCTATTGATGTGAGAGCCAGACACGTAGGATGCTCTTTAGCATTATCCTCTATGGGTCAAGTGCTAGATTTTGTGATGTCTTTAAAGCTATCATGTTCCCAGAATTACTCCAACTTGAAGTATTGATCATACTCCTTTCTGTAGCTTTTTGCATTTACAAAGAACTCCAAATTATTTCTTGGCACAAATGCTTATTGTATTCTTATATCAATATTTCCATACTGGAAAACACTGCCCAGTACTGGAGCAGTTCCTGGCTTATTCTGGTGCCTCTACATGTTATATTGGTTGAAGATGATCTCATGGTAAGTTCTGACATTCACACTTAACGTCTACCAATCTGATCATCCAACTCTGTTCTTCATCCACCTCCATTTTGTCTTAACATCGGCTTTTCCATCCAAGAGAGAAAGTGAGGAACTCCAATGACTCCTTATCCAAATACATTATTTCTTTTAATTTAGAATTGATTGTTAATAACTCTACTGCTCTCCTAGTGTTAAAGTGAAAAAATTGGAAAATGCCCCAAAATTTCGTAACTCCAGAACTGAAAAGTAAATCAAAAGCTCTGCTTCTGCTGTGTTTGCAAAGGAATCTAAAGCCTTTATTCTCTAGACATTGACAGGACTACAAGGACTCATTGCAGAAGAAAGTGACCAAGAGGTTCACATTCTGTGCATCCTCAGGTCACTTTGTTGCCTCATGACAGCTTCACTCCTCCTCTCCTATCTTCTTGCCATGAAATTCCCTGCTCTTGGCCCGGAGCTTGTTGACCTGTGACTCTGCAATGTCAGCCCGCTCCTCGGCTTCCTCCAGCTCATGCTGGATCTTGCGGAACTTGGAGAGGTTGACGTTGGAAAACTCCTCCTGTGCAGGGAGAGGCAGTTGGTGGTGAGGAGCCCAGGGCTGGGGTTCATATTCATTTCAACGCGTGTGCTGCCCTGATGGAGGGTGGCTCTTGCCCATGCTCCAAGCAATACTTACAGCCTCCTCAGCTTGTCTCTTGTAGGATTTCACCTTCATTTGCAGCTTGTCCACCAGGTCCTGCAGCCGCAGAATATTCTTCCGGTCTTCCTCAGACTAGAGCAGTTGGCAAACAGGGGAGAAAAGCAGAGATTGCTTCTGCACCGTGTGAGGTTCACTGCTCCCCTTGGGGATGGTGGCTGCACAGCCTGACTTGCTGTCAGAACACTCTGCCAGCCCAAGGAGGCCTCCTGCCTTACCTGGTAGGTCAGCTCCTTCACCCTCCTCTCGTACTTGCGCACACCCTTCACGGCTTCAGCGCTGCGCTTCTGCTCAGCATCAACCTCCCCTTCCAGCTCCCGCACCTGCAACGACAAGCCCAGCTTTGGAGCTTCCCTGCTGGCTGCTGACACCACATCCTCACTCACACACAAAGAAGAGCCCTACACACCCTGGCCTCCAGCTTCTGGATTTGCTTCTTGCCTCCCTTCAGGGCCAGCTGCTCAGCCTCATCCAGACGAAGCTGCAGGTCCTTCACTGTCTGGTCCAGGTTCTTCTTCATCCTCTCCAGGTGGGCACTGGTGTCCTGCTCCTTCTTCAGCTCTTCTGCCATCATGGCTGCCTGGTGAGAGAAAAGGCCCAAGCCATTTTAGGACTGGAGAATTTTAGGAAGAAGGCACTTCCATTAAGCATTAAAAGAACCCCCAGCTCACATCAGTGATGGCCTTCTTGGCCTTCTCTTCAGCATTGCGGGCTTCCTGGATCATATCCTCCATTTCACTCTGAATTTGGGAAATGTCTGTTTCCAGCTTCTTCTTGGTGTTGATCAAGCTGGTGTTCTGTTGAACAACAAAAAATTGTTCAGTTAGTTCCAAACCAGAAAATTTCTCTTTAGAGATCTTTATTTATACTATTATCATCATCTTTCGAATGATGCATCTCACCTGCGTGTGGAGGAGCTGAACTCTCTCTGTTGCATCCATCAGTTCCTGCTCAGCCACTTTCCTCGACCGCTCCGTCTGCTCCAGGGCTGCCCGAAGCTCCTCAACTTCAGCTTGAAGCAGGTTTGCTCTGCGCTCCACCATGGCCACCTGCTCCTTCAGGTCCTCCTGAGTCCTCAGAGCATCATCCAAGTGTATCTGGGTATCCTTTAAGAGAGGAAAGATAAATTATACATTTACATGCAGAAGTATTATCATAGAATGATGGTTTTGGTTGGAAGACACCTTCAAGACCAGCAAACAGGCTGGAGAGAGTATTAAATTAGACTTAGCAGGAGTAGGGGAGTTTTGAGAAAAGGAGAGAAGCCAGGGACTGCTAATGCATACAGAAGTAACAGACTGGGGTCACAGGGTTTGTCTAGTTTGGAGAGAAGGAAATTGAGGGAAAACCTCATTGCTCTCTCCAGCTTCCAGATGTGAAGAGAGAGGTGCTGATCTCTCCACCTTGTGAGCCAGTGACAGGATATTATGGATGCCCCATTCATGGCAATCTTCAGGGCCAGGTTGGATGGGGTTTTATCATAGAATCATAGAATCTTAGGGGTTGGAAGGGACCTCGAAAGATCATCTAGTCCAACCCCCCCTGCCAGAGCAGGGTCACCTAGAGTACATCACACATGAACGCATCCAGGTGGGTTTTGAATGTCACCAGTGAAGGAGACTCCACAACTTCCCTGGGCAGCCTGTTCCAGTGCTTTTGAGCAGACTAGCACAAGATGTCCTTGCACACAGAAGAGAAGTTGGAGTAGATGGTCTTTGAAAGTCCTTTTAGACCCAAACCATTCTATGATTCAATAATTCTATGGTATAGACAAGCTAGGCACCTATGCGCACATCCTTAGCTTAACATGCCTTGAGCACTCCCTGTGTGTTCCTCAGGTTCTTTTGTGCCTCTGCAGCCACACGGTTGGCGTGGCTGAGCTGGATCTCCATTTCATTCAGGTCTCCCTCCATCTTCTTCTTCAGCCTTAGGGCTTCATTCCTCTCAGCATCCAGGGTGCTCTGCATGGACTCCACAATTCTCAGGTGGTTTCTCTTCATCTGGTCAATCTCCTCATCTTTCTCTGCTATCTTCCTGTCAATCTCCGACTTCACTTGGTTGAGCTCAAGCTGGAGGCGCAGGATCTTCCCCTCTTCATGTTCCAGGGAGGCCTGAACAAGTGGACACAAACATTGTCAACACCAATAATGCTACTGCTTCCTTCCTAGGGAGGGACAGAAAATTTCAGGTCATCTCAGCATAAACAGAGAGGGGCCAAGCAGATCCTAGCTATGTTTCTCTGTTGCTTCTGTTCCAAGTGCAGACACCAGTGATTATGGACACGTACCTCAGCTTCCTCCAGAGCAGCCTGGATTTCAGACTTCTCCTGCTCAATCTGCTTCTTGACTTTCTCCAGCTCATGAATCGCCTTTCCTCCCTCGGCAATCTGCTCCGTCAGGTCGGAAATCTCCTCTGTGGGAGCCAAGAGCAACGGCCTGGTCAGGCACAGAGCCAGGTGGGAAGGGCCCTGCCACACCAAGGGGACAGGCATCTCTGCAGAGCTGCAGGCACAGCCCCGTGTGCAGCAGCGGGGAGAGGTGGAGAGTCAGAAAGCCCTGCCAGCAGCAGAGGGCCAGGGACTTACGCTGCAGGTTCTTGTTCTCGCGCTTGAGCGTCTCCAGGTGGTCCAAGGACTCCTCATAGGCATTCTTCATCTTGAACAGCTCGGTGCTGAGAGAGCGAGACTCCTTCTGGGAGGCTTCCAGCTCAGCCTGCGTCTCCTCATACTTCTGCTTCCACTCGGCCAGGATCTGCAGAGAAATGGGGCCTGAGTGTGGATGTGGCAACCAGGAGGGGCTGCCCTGCTCCCGAGCCCCAGGCCTGCAGCCCAACACACCTTGTCAAAGTTCCTCTGCTTCTTATCCAGAGCTGCACAGGCAGCGTTTGAGCGCTCCACGTCAATCATCAAGTCCTCCACTTCATTCTGCAGCCTCTGCTTGGTCTTTTCCAGGGAAGCACATTTGGCATTGACGGCTTCAACGTGTTCCTCTGCATCCTGCAGCCGCTGTGCCAGCTTCTTCCTGGCAGGAGATAAGCACAGCTCCAGAGAAGGGAGGCAAGTGTGCATTGTCAAGGAGAGGGCACTTGGCCACTTCAGGGCCTTTGAGCCTAGCACTTGTCAGGTGTTTTTTCTGTCCCAAGGCTGCAAGCAGCCTGAAAGGTCCTAGCACCTCCTGAGTAATTGGTCTCTCTTAGCTTTTCTAGCCCTGAAGACAATGTTTCTCATTCCAATCTACACTTTTCCTCTCAGTCCCTCTCTCTAATCTAACACAAAGACAGTCCTGTCCCTATCCTATCCCACTATCCAAGCCCCGAACTTCCAATTTCCCTTAAGATCCTCAGTCTTCTCCAGCCCCTTGACATCCCACTCCCCACATACTTGGCCTCCTCCAGCTCCTCGGTGCGCTGAATCGCGTCCGTCTCGTATTTGGTTCTCCACTGGGCCACTTCGCTGTTGGCCTTGGACAGGGCACGCTGCAGCTCCCCCTTGGCTTCCTGCTCCTCCTCATACTGTTCCCGGAGCAAGTCACAGTCGTGGCGAGCAGACTGCAAGGCGTGGGCCAGGGCGTTCTTGGCCTGGGGCGGAGCAAGTACAGTCGTGGCGAGCAGACTGCAAGGCGTGGGCCAGGGCGTTCTTGGCCTGGGGGGAGAGTGGGATTAAGACAATGAATGGTAATATCCTGGGAAATGTCTTCCAATTAATTGATTAATACAGCTAACATGACTGTACATTAGGGTGTAAATGTTTGCAATGAAAGGTAAGTCTGGAGGGCAAAATTGCATCAGCACAGAAATTAATACCTTCCCTCAGTATGACTTGTGCTAATTAGACCACGTACCCCCTAGCCAGTGTGAAGTTAACAGTGTTTTCAGTGGCTATTGGTAGGAATAGTCATCACCTTTACTTCTTCCTCCAGGTGCCTCTTGAGTTCCTCAATCTGCTGGGTAAATCCTTGCTTGCCCCTAGACAGCTGAGAAATCAGAGCATCTTTCTCCCCCCCCTGCCGCGAAAATTCACCTGGGTAAGCAAAAAGGAAAAAATACTCATTGATTTTCATGACCCAAAGAATTGTCATAGGATGGTCTGTGTCCACAGCACAGAGGAGGCTTCCTCACCTGCTTCTGTCTGCAGACGAGCCCTTTGAGCATTGAGGTCGTTGATCATGCGCTGATGCTCCTCTTCCTTTGTCTTAATCTCACTCAGCTGGTCTTCTAGTGTGCGACACATCTTCTCCAGGTTTGCCTGTGTGTCAACATATGGAAGGGGAGGGACTAGTCATTCACGCTCTTAATAAGAGCAGGTACAAGAAGTTGCGTTGTACGGATTCCACTGGGGCAGATTTGTGTACCTTGGCTTTGGAGACAGACTCCATGTTACTGGCCAGGTCGTCTACTGCAGCTGCGTACCTTGGCCTTGGAGACAGACTCCATGTTACTGGCCAGGTCGTCAATCTCCATCTTCAGCTCACTCTTCTCCTTCTCCAGCTTCTGCTTCACGCGTTGCAGGTTGTCGATCTGCTCCCCCAGCTCAGCTGTGCTGTCCGCGTGCTTCTTGCGCAGGGCGGCAGCCGTGGCTTCGTGCTGCAGCGTGGCCTCCTCCAGGTCACGGCGCATCTTCTGGAACTCTGCCTCCCGCTTCTTGTTCATCTCGATCTGAGCTGCAGTAGCTCCTCCTGCTTCTTCCAGGCGCTCGCTGATCTCCTCCAGCTCCCTGGACAGGTCAGCCCGATGCTTCTCTGCTTTGGCCCGAGAGGTTCGCTCGGCCTCAATTTCCTCCTCCAGCCCCTCAATACGAGCCTGGGGAACAGCAGCAACAACCCTTCACGCCCAGGCCCTCCTCCCACCTGACCCCACCCTGGCAGACAGAGAGCAGAAGGAGCAGAGACTTGCCTGCAGCTCCTTGATCTTCTTCTGTAACTGCATGCCCAGGACCTGCTCATCTTCAATTTTGCTCTGGATCTGGCTGATCTCAAAGTCTTTCCTTGGGGCAAAGCAAACCCTCTTAGTGCCGCAACAAAACCACCCAAGGTCAAGACCAGCCCGGCCCTCAGGGGCCCCACAGCCACACTTACTTCTTCAGTTTCTCATCCAGCTGCTGCTTATCATTTTCCAAATCCATGATGCTGTCATTGGCCAGCTTCAGGTCTCCTTCAAGCTTCCTCTTAGCTCTCTCAAGGTCCATGCGCAGTTTCTTCTCCTGCTCCAGGGACCCTTCCAGCTACAAGAAACAAGAGCTT